TGCATGACCATGTTTTAGATCCCTTAAACCTACCCCATACCTAAACATAACTACTACTACAACAACTGCCTTACTTTGAACTACTCTAAAGTATTACCCAACCTGGTAGCCTGTAGGGACATTGCTTGCTTTGAGAACACCTCGCGTGGAATATTGCTGATAGGAGTGGCTTAACAACACAATTAGCAATCATCATGAGTCTGTGGTGGCCAAAAATATTGCCACCCTTGCACTTTTTTCAAATAATCCTTAATGTTTCCAGACCTGACATTAAATATGTTGACACTAAAACATATTTTGGTATACACATATTTATGTTTTTGGTGTGCAAAAATCTGAAGAATTTATATTCCAGATAATTTCACAGAGAAATCCTAAAATTGCCTGGACAATATTATTGGCACCTTCTAGAAGTAGTCATAGATAGATAGCCAAAGAAGGTCAGACACAAGATTATAGCTAAGTGTGGACAAGCTCAAGGCTACAAATGCATGTACGCAACGTTATCTAGACGATTAAGACTCATGGCACTGTGGCCACCTTCACTAGACGTGGCTGCAAGAGAAAACTTGGTGGAAGTTTGCAGCAATAAAAAAGGATTGTTTGAACGGTGTAAAAAGCACTTTGGTCAGCCTCAACACAGATTAAAGCTGACCTTCAGACACGAGGTATGACAGTTTCAACTTGCAACATCTCCATGAAAGGGGGTTGTATCCAGGAGGACCCCCACAAAGTCATGTCTGAAGTTAGCCAGAACATGCCAAAATACTTCATGGCCAAATCATAGATTGACCGAATAAAAGCTTTTTGCTGTCTAAGCCCTGCAGTCAAACATAGAGGATGGTACTGGTGAAATCAGGCAAATACAGCTGTTCTGGAGCACAATGTTGGAAAACGAGGCCTCTATCGAAAGGCACGGGTCTCACAGCAGGTCCAGTGTTCAAGGGCTTCATTTATAAAATGTTGCGCAGAAACCATCCTAAAATTGATCTTACGATCAT